GTTAGTGACTTAATATTAAGAATTTTCATACTAAGGAGACAAGGAAAAGAAAAAAATTTCCATTCTAAGAAGACACAGAAAATAAAGAAATTTTTATTCTAAGGAGACACAGAAAATAAAAAAAATTCCATTCTAAGGAGACACAGAAAATAAAGATATTTCCATTCTAAGAAGACACAGAAAACAAAGAAATTTTTATTCTAAGGAGACACAGAAAATAAAGAAATTTCCATTCTAAGGAGACAAAGAAAATAAGGAAATTTCCATTCTAAGGAGACACAGAAATAAGAAATTTTTATTCTAAGGAGACACAGAAAATAAAGAAATTTTTATTCTAAGGAGACACAGAAAATAAAGAAATTTCCATTCTAAGGAGACACAGAAAATAAGGAAATTTCCATTCTAAGGAGACACAGAAAATAAAGAAATTTCCATTCTAAGGAGACACAGAAAATAAGGAAATTTCCATTCTAAGGAGACACAGAAATAAGAAATTTTTATTCTAAGGAGACACAGAAAATAAAGAAATTTTTATTCTAAGGAGACACAGAAAATAAAGAAATTTCCATTCTAAGGAGACACAGAAAATAAGGAAATTTCCATTCTAAGGAGACACAGAAATAAGAAATTTTTATTCTAAGGAGACACAGAAAATAAAGAAATTTTTATTCTAAGGAGACACAGAAAATAAAAAAAATTCCATTCTAAGGAGACACAGAAAATAAAGAAATTTCCATTCTAAGGAGACACAGAAAATAAAGATATTTCCATTCTAAGAAGACACAGAAAATAAAGAAATTTTCATTCTAAGAAGACAGAGAAAATAAAGAAATTTTTATTCTAAGGCGACACAGAAAATAAAAAAAATTCCATTCTAAGGAGACACAGAAAATAAAGATATTTCCATTCTAAGAAGACACAGAAAATAAAGAAATTTTCATTCTAAGGAGACACAGAAAATAAAGAAATTTTCATTCTAAAGAGATACAGAAAATAAAGATATTTCCATTCTAAGAAGACACAGAAAATAAAGAAATTTTCATTCTAAAGAGACACAGAAAATAAAGAAATTTTTATTCTTATGAGACACAGAAAATAAAGAAATTTCCATTCTAAGGAGACACAGAAAATAAAGAAATTTCCATTCTAAGAAGACACAGAAAATAAAGATATTTCCATTCTAAGAAGACACAGAAAATAAAGATATTTCCATTCTAAAGAGACACAGAAAATAAAGATATTTCCATTCTAAGAAGACACAGAAAATAAAGAAATTTTTATTCTAAGGAGACACAGAAAATAAAGAAATTTCCATTCTAAGGAGACACAGAAAATAAAGAAATTTTTATTCTAAGGAGACACAGAAAATAAAAAAAATTCCATTCTAAGGAGACACAGAAAATAAAGAAATTTCCATTCTAAGGAGACACAGAAAATAAAGAAATTTCCATTCTAAGGAGACACAGAAAATAAAGAAATTTCCATTCTAAGGAGACACAGAAAATAAAGATATTTCCATTCTAAGGAGACACAGAAAATAAAGAAATTTTCATTCTATGGAGACATCAAATAATGAAAACGAAGATCAAATAAATGAAAAGTGACCGAATTTGAAATTTCTTATTCAACTTAAGGACAAAAATCTCAAAGGAAAAACGTTCGATTTTTTCTATTAATTTAAAAATACCTTTGAAATCTGCAATAATTTTGGAAGTTTCAACGTAACAAATAATGAAGTTATTCATTAAAAAGTTTATCAGACGTCCTCGTTTGAAGGATCTTTACTAGTGTCGCGCTAAAGTTATAAAATGTTGCTTTTTTTAGTGTTTGTATTTGTGTGCCTGTGTGTGTGCGCGTGTGTGTGCGCGTGTGTGTTTAAACGCGTGTTTGCGTGTGTGTGTGTGTTTAAAGTGTGTGTATGGGATCACGAAAACATTAAACCTAAACCTGAAACAAGAACCTAAACCTGAAACAAGAACCTAAACCTGAAACAAGAACCTAAACCTGAAACAAGAACCTAAACCTGAAACAAGAACCTAAACCTGAAACATTAAACCTAAACCTGAAACAAGAACCTAAACCTGAAACAAGAACCTAAACCTGAAACAAGAACCTAAACCTGAAACAAGAACCTAAACCTGAAACAAGAACCTAAACCTGAAACATTAAACCTAAACCTGAAACAAGAACCTAAACCTGAAACAAGAACCTAAACCTGAAACAAGAACCTAAACCTGAAACAAGAACCTAAACCTGAAACATTAAACCTAAACCTGAAAACAAGAACCCAAACCTGAAACAAGAACCTAAACCTGAAACAAGAACCTAAACCTGAAACAAGAACCTAAACCTGAAACATTAAACCTAAACCTGAAACAAGAACCTAAACCTGAAACAAGAACCTAAACCTGAAACATTAAACCTAAACCTGAAACAAGAACCTAAACCTGAAACAAGAACCTAAACCTGAAACAAGAACCTAAACCTGAAACAAGAACCTAAACCTGAAACATTAAACCTAAACCTGAAACAAGAACCTAAACCTGAAACAAGAACCTAAACCTGAAACATTAAACCTAAACCTGAAACAAGAACCTAAACCTGAAACAAGAACCTAAACCTGAAACAAGAACCTAAACCTGAAACATTAAACCTAAACCTGAAACAAGAACCTAAACCTGAAACAAGAACCTAAACCTGAAACAAGAACCCAAACCTGAAACAAGAACCTAAACCTGAAACATTAAACCTAAACCTGAAACAAGAACCTGAAACAAAACCTGAAAACAAGAACCTAAACCTGAAACAAGAACCTAAACCTGAAACATTAAACCTAAACCTGAAACAAGAACCTAAACCTGAAACAAGAACCTAAACCTGAAAACAAGAACCCAAACCTGAAACATTAAACCTAAACCTGAAACAAGAACCTAAACCTGAAACAAGAACCTAAACCTGAAACATTAAACCTAAACCTGAAACAAGAACCTAAACCTGAAACAAGAACCTAAACCTGAAACAAGAACCTAAACCTGAAACATTAAACCTAAACCTGAAAAACAAGAACCTAAACCTGAAACAAGAACCTAAAACAACAAGAACCTAAACCTGAAAACAAGAACCTAAACCTGAAACAAGAACCTAAACCTGAAACATTAAACCTAAACCTGAAACAAGAACCCAAACCTGAAACAAGAACCTAAACCTGAAACAAGAACCTAAACCTGAAACATTAAACCTAAACCTGAAACAAGAACCTAAACCTGAAACAAGAACCTAAACCTGAAACAAGAACCTAAACCTGAAACATTAAACCTAAACCTGAAACAAGAACCTAAACCTGAAACAAGAACCTAAACCTGAAACAAGAACCTAAACCTGAAACAAGAACCTAAACCTGAAACAAGAACCTAAACCTGAAACATTAAACCTAAACCTGAAACAAGAACCTAAACCTGAAACAAGAACCTAAACCTGAAACAAGAACCTAAACCTGAAACAAGAACCTAAACCTGAAACATTAAACCTAAAACCTGAAACAAGAACTCAAACCTGAAACAAGAACCTAAACCTGAAACAAGAACCTAAACCTGAAACATTAAACCTAAACCTGAAACAAGAACCTAAACCTGAAACAAGAACCTAAACCTGAATTGGGGGAATGTCAGGTGCTGTAATGTGCGTTTCGGCTGTTGTACGTTTCAGCCTTCTTCAGGTGATATTCAAAAAAATATCACCTGAAGACGGTTGGAGCGTACAACGACCGAAAGTCGCGAATGTGACAGTAAAGATGAGGAAACAGTCCGAACAATGTAAATAGTGTAAATAATAATAATAATAATAATAATAATGCTGTTTTTGTAAAGAATGTTATTATGGATTTCAGATAGATAGAAGTGACTATCTGAGATAAACTACTGTAGTGATTATTGGAGATAAAATTAACCAATCGGAGGCTTCAATATTGTATATTAAAACACAAGACGATTAGTTAGTCTTAAAATGCGTCTAACATATTTAGTAAAATCAGCTTATAACGGCACAAGTGAATTACGGTTTATGTAATGGACAGCAGCTCGGAATGAGAAATCGAAGAGCTGATTTCGAATTCCAAATCGCTTCGTTGATTTCACGTTGACTTATCTATAAGAAATTGAGTTATATCTCTACTTATTTTTTATTACAAAAATTTACAAACTTATAAATTTTCAGCTGTAGTGATCATTTATACATTATAAAATCTTATTGTTTTTTGACAATATTTTGTTACTCTTATCATGTAAAGTATTTTAACTGTTGTAGATTTTTGCCTCATGTTCAACTATGTGACTATCTTGCTTTTTATATCCAGTAATGTTTCCTGGTGGACCTAAAGTACTTTTGTAATCTTTCGTAATGGCTTGCTTAAATATATTTAACCTTTATTTTTCATGAAAAGTCTCTGCTCAAATGTGTGCAGATGGCGCAACATGCCAGTGAATTGTTTACGACAACGAATACTGTAGTGACATTTTATGTTGGTAAATTTCGGATCTGCATAAACAATATCTAGCAGACTCACTTGCAAGCAAGTTACTGGTTTTGGTTTGTTTTACGGTATATCAACCTCAATGGGTTATTTAATGCCGACAAAATTTTTATTGCTGGAGAAAAGAAAATTTCAAAAATGTATTTCTGGTAATATTTTTCCTTCAAAAATGTATAGCTAGTATTATCTTTGTTTTTTTTGTTTTTGTTTTTTTTTTCCAAAAATGTATTGCTGTTAATATTTTTTTACAAAGCATTTCTGGTATCAAAACCTATTTTTACACTTTCATAGTGTTTAGACCCAAGTTTGTGGGTTAACTATTTGCTCATAGCTGAGACCCTAACAGGTGCTACTACCCCAGGTCAGGTTGGACCTGGGAACACCAGTCATTAAGAGGTGGTTTCACGCTCCTCAAAACCTCCTGATCAGAGGCCTTGCTGTTGGATGTAGTTTATCGTAATACCCAGGACGGCTAGATATTGGTGCCACATGTAACTACAGGTAAGATAGATAGATAGATAGATAGATAGATAGATAGATAGATAGATAGATAGATAGTGTCAGTTATATATAGCGACACTGATGGATAAATAAATCGATAGAGTTATATAACGCGACACTGATAGATAGATAGATAGATAGATAGATAGATAGATAGATAGATAGATAGATAGATACTGAATAGATAAAATAGATATTGAATAGACTGAGGTAGATAGATAGATAGATAGAGAGAGAGAGAGAGAGAGATAGTGTTATATAAAGCTACACTGATAGATCAATAAATCGATAGCGTTATTTATATAACGCGACACAGATAGATAGATAGATAGATAGATAGATAGATAGATAGATAGATAGACAGACAGATAGATAGGTAGATAGTGTTAGTTATATAAAGCTACACTGATAGATCAATAGATCGATAGATTTATAACGCGACACAGATAGATAGATAGATAGATAGATAGATAGATAGATAGATAGATAGATAGTGCTATTTATATAATGTGCAATGTCCATCGTCATCTTCTGCATCTCTGAATCCTGTTCTTTCATTGTCCCCTGTTTCTTTCACTCTCAGTAAACCTCTTGAATCATACTGACTTGTATCGCCTTGTTTGGGGCGAAATCATTAAAAGTGTACTTATATAATCCTGTACTTATAAAATTCACCGAAAACTAATTATCTATATTATATCTATAAGAAGCTAAGTTATATCTCCACTTAATAATTTAACACAAAAGCTTATTAATCCGAGGGTTAAACCTTATATAGATTGCAGAAATTTACAAACTTATAACATTCGTACACTTTTAATGCAATTTAATCCTCCTGAAATTTAAATTGTAAATTATTGATGCTATAGTCTTTTTCTGTTTTCCTTTACTTCCTCGAGTTAAATTGTAGAACATGCTGTATAACTTAAACAAAAGCCATAGACACTTGAAAAGGCAAAAGAAACTAATTCTGAATCTAGTCTAATTGAAGCCATCAATTATCATAACGAACTCAAATTTGCAATATATTCTAAAACATTTTGATCTAAAAAAATAATCCCAAAACTATATACTCAGTTACGAAACGAAACGATACGAGTCAGTGAAATCTGAAAGAAGAATCTCGTTGTAGCTAATAAATACAATTAAATGCTTTTGATCAATTTTTCGATTTCTGTAGAGAATACAAAATATATTACATTCCAGTCGTTGTTAATTATCTACAAGTAACGTATCCACTTGCGAATTTATTTAAGGTGATTGAGGAGACATTTTATAACAGGGTCTGCAATATGTTGCTACACATTCATTGCTTGGTTGATTGATTGAAGCAAATATCACAAGAGATTCAGAGTCTGTGCACAATCACGTAATGTTAACAAACACGAATAAGCAATTCCCTTCCATAAGGTGACGAAAAAACAACTTCTTTGTATTCATTGTTGCCGAAGATTTATGAAAGCGCTCTCTGAATTTTTCGCTGTGTCAGTTGGGGTCAAGAATACACTGACTGCTTTTATTCTCTACCAAAAAGGGACCACCCGTTTCATGTACATGGCTCTAACTTTTTTTGACATTGGTGCAGATCGGTCTTATATTTAACATTTGATCTCGTGTGAAAACCAAATCTATGTCTATCGTTTTGTCTCTTGTATAAACTGGATCTGTTTACCGTGCAAAGCGGATAGATGTTTACTGTTTTGGGTTTTCGTGGAAACTTAGCATATGTCTACATTTTTGAAACACGTACAAACCGGTCCCATGTGTACCGTTTTGGGCTTTTCGTGCAAACCGTTGATATGTCTACCTTTTTTGCTCTCATGGAAGTCGGACCTATGTCTACCGTTTTGCGCTTTTCGTGCAAACTGTAGATATGTCTACCTTTTTGCTCTCATGCAAGTCGGACCTATGTCTACTGTTTTGGGCTTTCGTGCAAACCTGACCTATTCTAGCTTTTGAATTTTGTGCAAATCGGACCTATGTCTACCATTTTAGGTTTTCCTGCAAACCGGACTTATATCTACTGTTTTTCGTGCAAACCGAACATATGTCTACCTTCTTGATACTCGTGTAAACCGAACCTATGTATATTGTTTTGGAGTTTCGTTCAACCCATACCTATGTCTACCTTTTTGACACATGCACAAACCGGACCTATTTCTGCTTTTTTGACACTCGTACAAACCGGATCTATATCTACCTTTTCTATTCTTGCGCAAACCGGACTAATGTCTACCTTTTGACAGTCGTACAAGACGGTCCTATCGTTGTTGGCTTTCAGGCAAACCGTACCTATATCTCCCTTTTTGACACACATAAAATCAGACTTATGTCTGTTATTTTGACTCTCTTGAAAACATGACCTATGTCGTAACTTTTTACTTGCGTGCACGCTGGAGCTATTTTTTATGAAAACATAATTCAGCAGTGAATAGATTGGGAAATGTCGATATAGCGTAAAACTTTTAAAAAAATCATCCCCTTTTTCTCTTCATATATTTTAATAATCGTTGTTTTTCTTTGTTTGATAGCAGTAATTTTTATTTTTAACTCACTCTATTGAATGGAGCGTAACGAAGGAAGAAGAAGAAACAATGCCATTCGATTGCTAGCCGATCAACCATCAAAATGTAAGCAGTTGAACTGCAGCGCCACAGAGTCATAATAATGCGGATTGGAGAAAAGAAGGGATAAAAAGTGGAGATTGGCTCCTTCTTGTTTGACGTTATATATGCTTTCACTCTGTTTTGTCGGAACTGACGTCAGTTATGACTGTTTTATCGTTCATTACAACTAAATATGTTATATTATACAGGATTTATCGTTTTATCACATAAAATTTTATTATGCAATACCTAGGACAGTGATTCCCAATTTCTGTTAGAGTGCAGTTTTTTGTTTTTTTTTAAAAAAAAGGTAGAATTAGAAAGCACTTTCCAGTAAAACATTTCTGAAGTGAGATAAGTAACGTGTTACCTTGACTGGTCATCCCACAGGAACCATCTTCCAATAAGATTCTACCACTATATACCACAAAATAAATTAGAACCGATTTCGAAGCAATGACTGTATTCTTTAATATCGGATCATTGCAACTAAGGAAAATCATTTTAACGCTATTCTTTGTGCTGTAATCGTTTTTTTTTCTGTAACATTATTGATTATTATTTTTTTATTATTGACGTTTATCATGCTTCGGTAACGAAGCATGATATATGCATAGAGATTCTGGTTTGCTACTAGATGAGGAGGTAAGAAGGTTCTGTTGCGTTAAACATCCAAAAGAGGAAGGCTTTAGAACTTTGAAAATCAGTTCCCAAATTTAGGTATATTGCCTGATTTCCATCACCGACCATTGGAGCCAATCGGGCATATGCAGCTACCTCGGCCACGAAGCATGCTATATGCATAGAGATCATGGTTTCATTTTCTCAGTATTATAAATGTTGCAAAAAGGCGACCTTTGTTTCCTTTCTTATTTAATAAACATCAAACTGAATTCTAGAGTGACATCTTAAGCAGTACATACCCTGTTAGGCTGCGAATACCATGGACAGAGCATGTGAGCAATGGGAAATTTTTAAAGAAAATACAAATAGGAAACTTATGCTTATATTCAGAAAGAAACATTCTGAATTATCTGGGACACAGAAAGGAAGGCATGAAGAAATTGGTACACACAAGGAAGATTGAAGACAGTGGTGGGAGTAGATGGATACATCGAGTAGCATTCCAAACAAGTTTGTATAAATAAGTTTGCAGGTAACAAGAGGAGTTCGCTAAGAACTACAGAAGTGTTATGGCTATTTAGCCACGCACACATGGGCTCTACCAGCTATAAATAGGAGCAGGTACTGCCTTTTGGAGAATGAAGTTTCTAACAGTCAGCTCTGACAGTCGAACCGAACATTCTTGTTGTAACACGTTCGTTTGTATATATTTGTATTACTGTTTCTGTTAATATGTATGTTTAATTCAATTCCTTTCTTTATGTCTTTATTTCTGGCCCTAACAAAGGTCACAACGAAAAGATTGAACGTTGTGGAGAACACAAAATCCGACAACCCTCGCGGATGTATCATATTCAGGATAGGCATAGTTTTATGTATGAATGCTCACGGATGCATAGACATATGTTATACATATCATTCTATGCATTATACTGCAACAAATAAATTATATTTAGATATTCCGATTTAATTTGGCATAAATAAGTACAATTTAAAACAAAGTACATTTTCAAAATACAGAGATATAATCATTATCATTTCCTGATCGCTCACATCCTGAAGCAGTGGTTCCTAAACGATACGGCGCACCTTATAGGAGCGGCGGAAGAGAATAGTTGGTGAGGCAGAATGATTGAAAGACAATCAAAGATTTGCATTTGATTTTAGAAAATTCATATGCCAAAAATAAATATGATTTCAAAATTTTAAAATATCATTCCATGCGTGATTCCCAGTATAAATAGTTATAAATAATTATTGACCAATTTTATTAGTGTGATATTTTTTCCATTATATCAAGTATTAAGAATATAGTAACTAACTAGGGTCCGCAAATTGGAGGAGAGAGTTATCAATGATAATGTTCTAACTTTGAATCCACGGTTATCTCCCTTTAACCCTATCACTGTTTTTTTAATGTACTTTTTTTATCACATAAATAAAATCACATTGCGCAAAATTGTTGGTCATTATCCATACTAAAACGGTTCGGCGCGCCACAGAGATGAGGCGGAATGATTGAAAGACAATCAAAGATATGGAAACAGTTTTTAAAAATTCATATGCCAAAAATAAATACAATTCCAAATTTTAAATATTATTTTAGATTACCTGTAATTGCATGCTGGATCCCCAGTAAATAGTTATAAATAATTATTGACCGATTTTATCATTTTGATATTTATGCATTATATCAAGTATTAAGTAGGGCCCGCAAACTGAAGGAGAGAGTTATCAATGACATTATTCTTACTTCGAATCCGCGGTTATCTCCCTTTAAGCCTTTCTCTGTGTTTTTTTATTAATTTTCTTTCTAATGTACTTTTTATCACTTAAATTTTGGTGAGGCGCGTGCAAATTTTCATTGCGAAAATGCGGCCCCAGAGAGAAAAAAAAAAGGTTTAGGGACCACTGGAAGGGACACGACACATAAAAAAAGAAGTTACTGTTATGATTAGAATTTAATTTATAGAAATGTGAACCCAAAACGGAAAGATACGGACACACACATATTGCTCATTATCAAAAAAATATTAAAATTAAAAAAACAAAACAAATTTTAGTTAAAAATGTTAAAATTGCATAAACACACACATAAAGGAAAGGGTACTTCGACGTGATGCAATTTTGATTTTTAAGCGTAATTTCTATGTGGCACAAGGCCGAAAGTAATCAGTGAGGATCGAACTCACTCCCCAGTTGCAAGTTATTTTTAACAAAACAAGATTGCTAAACTTTGAGCCTTCGACGTGGTGTGATGGTTAACAAGCTTGTTTTACTAGATCAATTATGTCTGAATAGTGAGTTCGATTCTCACCGGGTACCCCATACTTTCAGCCTACGCTTAAAAAATCACCACAAGAAACGATTGTGATCGATGAGTGATATAATCATTATCAATTCGAAAAAGGAATCATATATACTCAGCAATTTCTGAGGAATGCTTTTTGGTTGATTTTTATTTTTCGTTTTGCTTTCTTTTTACTTTTCTTTTTTTTCTTTTTTTTTTGTTTTGTAAGTCGCCTCATGGTAAAATTATCGATAAACCTTACTCTGAAAAACTGATTTCTGATTGCATATCAAACCATTCCTTCCAAATAAACTAATGACAAGAAAATAAAACAAAAATAAAATAAATTCGGAAAAGTGATTGAAAACAATCAAAGAAACGAAGCTGTCAGGTTTGGCAATGTTTTAGCACAACGGCTTGTAAAAGGCAAAGTATGATTTGGTCTTCAAACTTGGCGCTGGGTGGGAAGATTAGGTCATAGGTATGTGAAGGGTTTGGAATGGTTTGATGGGCGGCATCTCTAAACAACACACTGGCGGCAAATACTTGACGCCGAGATTGATTTATTTGTGAGAGAAACACGCATGAAAAAATTTATCTTCGCAATCTGCAAGCCATATTGTCAACTTTATTGGATTTGCTATCCCTTGCCACTCTTATTTTCGGTGTCGGTCAGTTTGATTCGGCTTGATTCGTCATGTAAAACCCATTTATAGGACCACTGTTATCCGGGTCATTGGCAAGTTCGCCCCTAATCGTCTTCCTGGGTTAAAATTGAGGTCAACCTGACCAACGGTCAGTCTACACAACCAGGCTACGATCATCAAACACATCAACGAGTATATATGGTGGGTTTTGTTTGGACTCAAGCCAAACGGTCAAGCTAGATTCTCACAGGTGATTTCCGCCCGGCTTTACAGTTCAATAATGGCAGATTAAATGCCTTTGCTTGTGTGGGACGTGAAGACTCGGAAGGGAGGTAAATGAAACTGTTAGAACAGGGCTTGGCTAGGCGTAAAGTCGGAATAGTGATATCTGACTCCTGGAAATTATCACTTGATCTTTGACAACTGCAGCCACCTTTTTCCTCTTGGCATACACGAAATTATTTGGTTTTTATATTTATGTCCGATTCTACTCAAGGACAGCTACTGCTTTGCCCTGACGTTTGTTTAAGTAATACTTCAGTTCTGCGTGTCACAAAAGATGGGAATTGATAGTTCATAAATACCGTATCGCAATTTGTCAATCAGGTTACGTGGTCACAACGCAGGCAATGGGTTACGTTCTACCTGCTCGGGGGGGTTTCTGTTCATATAAATACTACTACAGTCGAGTTTGTTTGCTTTCATATGCATAACATATTCATTGTGCTGTTATTATTTTATAGCAAATACCGTTATATGAGCGCAAAAAGAACGTCTGGCTAGATTTATTTATACAGAAATAAATCGTGTTTTGCAAGCAGAAGCGAGTGCGATCAGGTCTTGCGTATATTCCAAGGTTAAACACGCTCTGTTTAGCATGATAATAGTGTCTCAGTAATTCCTAGGATCATTTTCTACCCCTGTTCTTCTAGTAAACTAAAGATGTTTCTCGAAGAAACCATTTAAATAATTTATGGGTAATCAGTGTTCCATAGCCTTTTATTATGTATATATTCAAAAACAAGGATGCTTGTGGCTTTATGTGCGCGTCGGGTTGTGATTATTGGGCTCTATCTCACGTAAAAGGCAGAATATGGAATACGGATCTTCAAAACAAACAGATCGAATTATTGAATTACTGGCATGAATCATTGGCGCATCAAGTAGAATCAGCGTGCTGAGTTCAATTGCCGACCGAGTTCGTCTCCTTCACTTTCGCACACATTCTCCTGGGAAAAATATCAATCTATCCCTCTCCTACTATGGATTAAATAACAAAGCAGACTAGGCTTGATTGACAATCAGTCTAGGTGAATGACAACTGTAAATTAAAAATTGGTTGGTCGTGGAACCGTCAAACAAATCCTGTAAAAATCAACTGTTTTTTTTCAGCCCAAACTAGACAATGATGCTACTAAGATGCAAGGGGTTACTGGGACTAGAAGTGAATAAGACAACTATAGCGGGTAGAAAGGACAATAAAAGACCAGAGTCTG